ATACTACAACTATATGGAATAAAAGAGGCAGTAGTAGATGCATGTTTAGAGAAGGATAGATTGGAGTCAAGCCCAAGTGATCACACGTAGATCAAATGTTCACACTGAAGCCTGGAATAGAACAATGGCGGGCTCCCCTTACCAATTTCCACAGGTGTTTGACAGCCTCTAAAGGCATATGGAGCAGAATACTCTTCGGTCTTGTGGAATTCCAGCTAAAGTCAGCAAGATAATCAAGGCTTTCTACAGCGATGCTAAGGGCTGTGGAAGGGTGAACAACCGTGTGACAGAGTTGTTCATGGTGGACACTGGCATCTCTGCTGCTGTTTTGCATTGTCATACACTGAATAATGAAGATGTTCATTAGCATACACACTCTGGCATATCCTGGGAAGTGGCAAATGCCAGGAAGACACAGACTTTGCTGAGAATATTGTGCTATTAAGCAACACTTCAGAAAAGCTATGAAGGCAGATGTCTTTGCAAAGGCCAACAGGGATCAATCACTTATACCAAAACAAACATCCTTGAAAACCAGACATCAAGCAGGAACATCCTAATAGCAGGCCAAACACATCAAGAAAGTAGAACAGTTCATTTATCTGGGCAGTGCTGTACTAGTTGGGTTAATAATTTTGGTTGGACATATTCCTGCAGGTTTCATCACATGGAAAAATCTTTAATTCCTGGAGAGTCCAGGACAATTCTAGAGGGTTGACAACCCTAGCCAAGAGAGAGATCTCAGGGAGAAAAAACAATATCAGGTATAGGAAAGGCATCCACAGCATTCACTAAACTCAACAACCTATGGAAATGAAAGAGATACATTACCAAAATAAAACTGAGAATTTTGTAATAGCAGTGCTAACGTGCAGCTGTGAGAGTCAGAGCTCTTCTAAAACAGGAGATAAAAAAACTAGATGTTTTTGAAGATAAGTGCCTACAAAAGATTCTGGGCATTGGATGAAGAGACTTTAGCACCAATGAAGAGATGAAACGAATCACCAACAAGCAGCTTCTCTCCACTAGAATAAGAAGGAAGTGATTCCCTATCTTAACTTAATGCCACTTGACACTTAAGTGTTTTCTGAAAAGGGGTGAGGGGATGTACGTGCGCAAACCTGCTTTGGCCTACAGGGAAGTTAATGAGCTTCTTCACATTGAATGGTCCCTTAGAATATGCTTTGAACAATCTATTCCACCTTGCCTTTAGCTGTGACACTCAGTACCTATTCCAGACCTGAAATAGAGAATCATAGAACTTGAAGGAACCACGGCAGGTCAATGAGTCCATTCCCCTGCGCTCACAGCAGGACCAAGCATCATCTAGATCAGGGCTACTCAACATGTGGCCTGTGGGTCACATGCGGCCCATTGCCTGTTTGCTTGTGGCCCACGGTGCAGACTGGGTTTGCGCAGGGCTCAAAGTTGAATAGCCCTGATCTAGATCATGAAGTCGGTCAAGTAAAATATATTACCTTTCCCATTTTACCGCTGTGTGTGTGCGCATGCGCAGATAGATGCAGTGTTCTTGTAGCTGTGTTGATCCCAGGATATTAGAGAGACAGGGTGATTGAAATATCTTTTATTAGGCCAACTTCAGGTGGTGAGAGAGAGAGACAATATATAGAGCCCAGTTGAAGAAGAGCTCTGTGTAGATTGAAAGCTTCTCTCTCACCAACATAGGATGATCCAATAAAAGATATTACCTCACCTGCCTTGTTTCTCTGAGTATACATAGCTATTAATCCCCCATTATCTCTAATATCGTCCTTTTAAAAAAAAATTCAATCCTGGATGGGTAAGGAGGCAGCAGGGGGAGAGGCAGTGGAGGGGAGGGAGTGAGTGAAGGGGATGGAGCTGAAGTCCCAGGGCTTAAGTCCAACCCCAGTGCCTCTGGGAAGGTGGAGAACTCACTGGCTGCCTGCGCCTTCAGTGTTTGTATCTCCAGTGGAGGGTCTGGGGAATGGCCCTCTGCTTTGCCAGCCCTATCCCCTCCAGTCACTGCTAGAAACTGTGGCTGCAAGAAAAGTCCTTGCTGACTGCATTTGAGAAACATTTGCACCACAGTTTTTGGTTTTGTTTTAATTGTGAGGTAGTCTTTGTTTCCCCTTAATGTCACAGGATGTCTTTTCATATTCTTGGCTAGAACAAATCTAGTCTTTTTGTTTAGGGATATTTAACAGTGAAAACCCACACATTGATCTGAGCCAGAATATGCTATCAAACTTACGTTGTTGTTTATGTCCAATAGAATTCAGAGTATGCTAGGTATGATCCAAATACAAAAGAAAGCACAGTCTGTGTTTTGAGGATTTTAAACTCTAAAAACTCAACAGACAGATTGTGGGGAAGAGAAATTTGTTTACCTTTGTGTTCTTAAAAACTTTACATTATCAGTAGGTAACCAACCACTACATCACAGGCTGTTCACCTTAGTATTTTTGTTGTTCCTCCTTTTCCTTCCTTCTGCATTCTTAGAGTAAAAACTATCTGGAACATGGATCCTGCCTTTTTTTTGTGTCTGTGCCCATGCCTAACACAGTTATTGGTAATAATGTGCTTGATTATAATATTCTCATTTCTGTACATGTTAGATGCCTGTGTGTTTGTCAGCTGCTCTCTGCACCTCTTCCATGCTGCCCTTTATGCTAGAATGCCTTCCTGTAAGGGCTCTACCATTTCTTCGCCTTCATATCTCTCCTTGTGAATCACCTGTACAAGGACACCTGGAAGAAATCAGTCAATATATGACAGTTTAACTCAGGGAGAGATAGATAAATAAATAGGCATTTACTTTCTTTATGGCCTTATCTACACTCAAGGGTCATACAACCACACTAATGTGAATGCAGTTATGTCTGTAGCTATTTACGTACAGGAACTGCTAATGTTTGTATGGCTGTAGTTATGTCAAAGATTTGTATTCCTAACTAAAAAAGGCATGTTGTATAAAAATGGTGTGTAAATTAGGTATATTTAGAATGCTGAAAAAATGGCAAATTTATATATTTGATTGTATTCCTTGCCTACCCATACCCTTCTTTCCCTGCTTTTCTGCTTAAATTGAAAGTTTAGGTTGTATGCAGGGGCTGCTTTGCCATTTCCCTTTATATAATGGGGCCACAATGCAAATTAATTATAATATGAACATTTAATAAGTGATCACATATTAGTAGTGTTCTTTTGGGTTATGGGAATTAGACTGACCATAAATGAGCTTGCTCTTATTGTGCTCAGTGCTTAAGGAATATATATTATTCATCAGGACCCTGGTTTAAAAAATGGCACTTCTGTGCCTGAAAGTGAAAGTGTACCTGAAGATTTAGTGAAGAAGCACCAGAGAAATGCATCTGGAACACCTTCAATAGCAGTTTCTAGAGCATCTCTAGCATCAGGTAAGTGTCCATTAGTAGTCCTAATCCTTTCTGTGATATTATTATTCATATGACCTCCCTACATACTTTCTTTCTGTTGCTGTAATGAATAATAGATGAGATGACTGTAAGCACAGTTGAGTTTATTGTTGTTAATTCTGACACTAGCAGGTTTATAAAAGGGAAGAAAATACCCTTTCCTTGTTTCATATGGGGGAAAAGTGTGAACCTAATTTAATAAACTGTTACTCTTTCATTATCTCTTGAAGAGGGACAGATAAAATGATTCTTTCATTGTATGATGGTGAGTAGCTGAAATTGACACAGTAAGGTTCACCCAAAGCCATTTTATAGGAATTGGTGAAGATCATTCTCTTTCTCATTTGAAACAGAGGACGGAAGTCCGTTCACTTCCCATTGCTCAGCCATTCCCATAATCTGTCCTGTTCAGCCTTTCAGAGTGATGAGCCAGTCTATAAATCACAGCAGGGCTGAGCCACTTTATTTCTGATGAGTTAGTCTGGACTAGAGACTGGGTAGCACATCCCACAGAGATAATCAAAGGAGCGATGTTTTCACCTTAGATTTTTCTGCTTGAAAGCAGCAAAGTACCTTTGAACAGGGGCTGCATCAGTAGGAAGAGGCATTTCTGATTGCTGCTTTCTTTGTGCAAGGAGGAATTCTCCTTCTTTCACATTACCTGATGCAATAAAGTCTCTTTGGAAAAAGATCACTAGCTTCATTTCACCAAGGTGAATAGGAGGCTGAAAGAAATCATAGGCATGCTAGAAACATGAGAGTCACCAGCCCTGGGCCCTGCAACTTCCTCTCCTATTTCGAGGATCTTGAAGATGAACTAGAGAAATCCTTACCCAAACCAGCATGAGCTGCATCCCAAGGTGAAGGGGTCAAGTCAAAACTTCTTTGACCTAGGGCCTAAAGTGACTTCCTTCCTTTCTTTGTATGGGGAACAGCTGCAGCAGCATGGAATATTCGTTAGAAGAGAACTAAGGGTACGTCTAGACTACATGCCTCTGTCGCCAGAGGCATGTAGATTAGGCTACCAGACATAGGACAATGAAGCGGCGATTATTTAAATCGCCGCTTCATTTAAATTTACATGGCTGCCGCGCTGAGCCGACAAACAGCTGATCAGCTGTTTGTCGGCTCAGCGCGATAGTCTGGACGCGCGGGTGGCGACATCAGAGGTATTTGTCGACCACCGAGGTATACCTCATCCCAGGAGGCATACCTGGGTGGTCGACAAATACCTCTGATGTCGCCACCCGCGCGTCCAGACTATCGCGCTGAGCCGACAAACAGCTGATCAGCTGTTTGTCGGCTCAGCGCGGCAGCCATGTAAATTTAAATGAAGCGGCGATTATTTAAATCGCCGCTTCATTGTCCTATGTCTGGTAGCCTAATCTACATGCCTCTGGCGACAGAGGCATATAGTCTAGACGTACCCTAAGATAAATCTTCCAAAAAACAGCCAATATGTTTTACACTATTGGCCATTAGCTGGTAAGTCAAGGTCTCCCATGTCCCAGGGAAATTTCCCTTCTCTCCACATGAGAACCAGCAATACCAGACATAGACATTTTCACTGCCTTCTGGTATCTGTGATGTTTTGGTGGTTCACATGGACCAGTAAGAGGTCCTGTCACAACATGCCCTGTAATCTTGGGTATCTTTGTGCTGTGCTGGCTCAGAGTCCTGACACCAACAACTGGCACACACCAAAACAGCTTTCCACCATCCTGGTTACTTCTTGCAAGGTAGTGCTAATGGCTTTTCCTGTCCCAAGTCTCCCCCAAAACCAACTGCGGTTTCCAGTCCCTCTTATTGGATGCTTACAAAAGTAACACCAAGTTTGCTGCCTCCAAAGAGTCAGTACATGAAACAACTTGTTCGTTCACCTGGAGTTATACAAATTACCATTATGCCCGGCACTAAGATGACTTGTAGTAAAACTAAGTTTTATTAACAAAGAACAGAGATTTAAGTGATGTCAGGGTAGACAGAACAAGATGTGAAAGGGTTACAAACAAAAGAAAAACAACATCCTTTCTAGTATGTCTAAAACAGGGGTGGGCAATCATTTTAAAGGAAAGGCCAACCTGGAAGGGAGAAGGCCTCGGGCGGAAGGGGCAGGACCAGGATACAGGAAGTGTCCTTTGCTCCCCCGCTCACAGACCCTGATTGGCCTGAGGGTAGGGGAGCACGTGAAGTCTTTGCTCCCCACCCCTTCCTGTCACCTAGGGTGTGTCTAGACTACATGCCTCCTTCGACGGAGGCATATTTTAAAGGAAAGGCCAACCTGGAAGGGAGAAGGCCTCGGGCGGAAGGGGCAGGACCAGGATACAGGAAGTGTCCTTTGCTCCCCCGCTCACAGACCCTGATTGGCCTGAGGGTAGGGGAGCACGTGAAGTCTTTGCTCCCCACCCCTTCCTGTCACCTAGGGTGTGTCTAGACTACATGCCTCCTTCGACGGAGGCATGTAGATTAGCCAGATCGGAAAAGGGAAATGAAGCCGCGATTAAAATAATCGCGGCTTCATTTAAATTTAAATGGCTGGGGCCCGCCCC